TTACACTTAAACCATTAAATTCTACGTAAAAAGGTGTTTTGGAAATATTTTCATAAAAATACAAAATTTTCCGTAACAAAAAAGTTAACAGCGATTTGTTAAATATGGACATTTTTAAAAAACACCCCGTAACTCATAAACGGTAACAAATATTGATGTGCGGTTTTCATCATCATATTTTTGATAAAAATTGAGCTCCAGACACCGATATTAGTTTTTGTCTATATCCTATAGAAAAGGGTGTTTCCTTTTAAAAGTGTCGAATTTGACCCACCCTGTACACACTCCCATGGCAGTCTAGAAGAAAATACACAACTAACAAAAAAAAACAGAAAACACAAAAATCTATCAAATTCTGACAATGAAAACAATATAAAGAATGGTTTAGTCAAATTTGCTATCACGAAAAACAGAAGTATAATTATTTATATATCAATTCCTTTAAATGTCTCATTTCCTTTGACGTGTTCTTCTTTAACCGAACAGCCTTTAAATAACCTTTAACACTTCTTTCGAAAACGTTTTAATATAGAGCTAAAGCTGGCAGTAAATCTTCGGGACCGATATATTGTGGCCCTACGTGTTTTATTTGCTAGGCCGGATGCTGCGATGCATCTTGCTGCGGTTTTTGCGCTAAACCGAACAGAGTCTGGTCGCTTTGCGCCGATAAATATGACGCGACGTGCTGATTTACGGCCTTTTGGGCTGAGGTTTAACACGGTACTATGTTTAATCCTTGATATATTTCCCAGTCTAATGATGTGATAATAGTAAAAGAGTTTCAAACAAAAATTTACCCATTTTTATATTTTATATTTTTTTATATTTGATTTTCTCATTTTTGTATATTTTATTTGGTTTTATCGAAATAGTTCCTTTTTGATAATTAATAAACTCATCGGTAAAATAGGCCCTATCTATATCAAGTCTATATCATACTTAGTGACAAGGCAATGGTTGTACAGACAGGTAACCGCGTTAAGTTAAATTGGTACTCTACCCACTATTTTTTGCCGCCCCCACACAATAATAAAAAATCAAGTAATTTTTCACACCCAATACAAACAAAAAAAAATTGGCGCCGGGAGACACGTATAGCCGCCCATACTAAAATATGTTAATATCTCGAAAACTGCGACTTTGACTGATTTTGATGTTATTACAAATTTTGTTGCAAATATTATTCCTAATCTTAATTTGAAAACCGCGTTTCGCTAGCTACTGTAATTTTGGAGTTACGATTTTTAAAAATTTTTAACCCCCTCCCATACCCCCTTACTAACCCCTACCCCCACCAAAACTAATGGCCAGATCCTCAGGTGCCACAGTATTTTTGTGCCAAATTTGGTTAAAATCGGTTCAGCGGTTTTTCAAATATCGTGTTACAGACGGACAGACAGACAGACAGACAGATAAACACCATGAAAATATTTTGTATTTAGGTCATTTATGACCCAAGTAACTCATTTTGAGTGGAATTAAAAAAAAATTTTTTGCCGATCCTAATAGCCTACCATACCTATTGGTATGGTCGGCTAATAAAAATTTTGTTCCCACAAAGGCCTCCTTTACCTGAAGATATGTGTTTTAATATTTTTGCCCTTACCCCTTGCCTTGTTTTAATATTTTTTCCCATACCTATTGGTATGCGCGGCTAATAAAAATTTTGTTCCCACAAAGGCCTCCTTTACCCGAAGATATGTGTTTTAATATTTTTGCCCTTACCCCTTGCCTTGTTTTAATATTTTTTCCCATACCTATTGGTATGCGCGGCTAATAAAAATTTTGTTCCCACAAAGGCCTCCTTTACCCGAAGATATGTGTTTTAATATTTTTGCCCTTACCCCATGCCTTGTTTTAATATTTTTTCCCATACCTATTGGTATGCTCGGCTAACAAAAATTTTGTTCCCACAAAGGCCTCCTTTACCCGAAGATATGTGTTTTAATATTTTGCCCTTACCCCTTGCCTTGTTTTATATTTTTCCCATACCTATTGGTATGCTCGGCTAATAAAAATTTTGTTCCCACAAAGGCCTCCTTTACCCGAAGATATGTGTTTTAATATTTTTGCCCTTACCCCTTGCCTTGTTTTAATATTTTTTCCCATACCTATTGGTATGCTCGGCTAATAAAAATTTTGTTCCCACAAAGGCCTCCTTTACCCGAAGATATGTGTTTTAATATTTTTGCCCTTACCCCTTGCCTTGTTTTAATATTTTTTCCCATACCTGTTGGTATGCTCGGCTAATAAAAATTTTGTTCCCACAAAGGCTTCCTTTACCCAAAGATATGTGTATATTTTTGCCCTTACTCCTCTACCTATGTAACAATTTGTATTAGGAGACAAAATATCAAAGAAAGTCGAAGAAGAAAGTTGTTCAGAATATTATTTAAGGCATACCCATGTATTATGTTTCAAAAATATACATATACTTTCAAAAATATAGGATATTTTTCAGACGAATTTTTAATTTTTCTGAAAATTTTCAATGTTTCTCGCTAAAATTACATAAAGTAAATCCAGCAAGATTAAATCGTAACCAGGAGATATAGAAAAAACTCTTTTAATGGCTTTGGTCTTAATTTTTCTTTGCTGCACTGTAAATAATCGTAAAAAATAAAATGTAAAATTTTATGATTTAATAATAAATTTTAAAAGAACAACAATCCAATATAACATATCAGATAATTGAAGAAGTCTATAAAGTTACTTTTAATAGTTGTTTGTTTTTTATAGACTTCTGTATCAAAGTGGGTAGTCTAATTTTTATTCGCTTTTTAATAATATGCTAAAAATGTCGAAGGCGAATACATATGACGTATTTTTTGAGCCGCTCCGATCTACCCCTTAAGCGGCACCCCTACTCACTCGAAAATCTTAAATGGCAACACCCCACTTGTGGCGCCTTTTTGGAAAGCCCATGAAAATGCTAAACGATGATCATAACGTTTTTAGGGTGAAATTGAAAAACTACCCCTTACACGAAAAATTAGGTGGACATTAATGAAAGAAGTAATTTTTTCAGCATAAGTTACAATTTTGGACCCAGCTAAATTAGGCAAATGAGGCATTTTTTAAACCACCCCGACGCACCCCTAGGTGCCATCCCCTCACTTCTAATCTCATCAATGCCATTTTTAAACCATTGCCATTTTAAAGCTAAAAATAAAAAATGTAGATAATAAAAAAAGCAACACAAAGATGTTTTACTAATTGTTCAGCCTAATTTTGCGATAACGCAAATTCTTCCTTATCATCTATTTTCTTTACTTTCAACAAACAGGAATCTTAAAACGGCATATCTTTGCGTTTTTGCACTGTCTTCTATCGATTTTCAATCGTTTGCAAATTTGGTGGTATTTTAAACGTTTATTTGATTCGCTTATTTGAAAGAAAGATGGTTTATACTGTGGAAGAAAGAATTCAAATAGTTTTTCTTTATGGTGGTGAAGGTATGTGTTATTTGAGAACGGCCCGTGCTTTGAATGAGAGAAATCCGGACAAAAACGTCAGTCACGTTTATGTTAGAGATTTGATTTTAAAGTTTCAAGAAACTGGGTCGGTCAAAAATAAAAAAAGGATAGGGTCCAGGGCACTGAATGAAGAAATGCAGATGGAAGCTATTGGTATCACAATCCAGAAGCATCAACACGCCAGTTGGCATCAATCACAGGTATACCTCGAACATTTGTCATGAGAGTATTGAAAATGCACAAATTACCCCTACAAAATGAAGATTCTGCAGGAACTTGGCGACGACGATCCAGATAGAAGGATTCAGTTCTGTGAACTAATGACGGAGGAAATTCGAAGGGAACCTTCACTCACTAAAAATATTTCTTTTAGTGATGAGTGCTCATTTTTTTAAACGGAATTGTGAATAAGCAAAACTGCAGATACTGGAGCGATGAGAATCCGCATATTGTTGTTGAAGGGCACACCCAACATCCCTAAAAGCCCAATGTTTGGTGCGGAATACTAGGCGATAAAATTATAGGTCCATTTTTCATTGACGGAAATTTGACTGGTGATGCTTATGTGGAAATGCTGAACAATTTGATAGAGCCAGCCATTGTAAATGAGGTTGAAAATCAAAGAGATTTGGAAGGAAATTTAATTCTTAATGAAGACCTCATACACTTTCAGCAAGATGGAGCCCCTCCGCATTATTCTATTGTCACAAGGCGGTGGTTGGATAGATATTATCCACGGCAATGGATTGGCAGAAGGGGTATGGAACAAAACGGCTGTCATTTTGAGCAATTGTTAAAATAAATTATCATTTTCAATTTCTTTCAAATTGTCACACCTACATTTCTTATCACTACTTACCAGTAATTGTTGAAAGAAGACAGAAGTTGAAATCTGTAGGACCTTCGTTTAGCAATTTCAGTTAGCTTTCCAAAGAAGTGTCACAAGTGGGGTATCGCTATCTTGAGATTAGAAGTGAGTGGGTGGCACCTAGGGGTGGGTTGGGGTGGTTTGAAAAATATCTCATTTGCCGCATTAAGCTGGGTCCCAATTTGTAACTTATACTGAAAAATCACTTTTTTCATTAATGTCCACCTAATTTTTCGTGTAAGGGGTAGTTTTTCAATTTCACCCTAAAAACTTTATGATCATCGTTTAGCATTTTTCATGGGCTTTCCAAAAAGGCGCCACAAGTGGGGTGTTGCCACTTAAGATTTTCAAGTGAGTAGGGGTGCCGCCTAAGGGGTAGGTCGGGGTGGTTCAAAAAATACGTCATATGTATTCCCCCTCGATATTATAGAAACGGTTTTTTTTTTATATCTTTTTTGGTTTAAGAGTTATAGCCATTGTAAATTTTCAGTGGCCCACCCTGTATATAAAGAATAATAATATGAAAATTTCCTATATATTTTCTTGGTCTATAAGTTTGCCATCTACATCAAAAGATTATACTAGAGTGTGACAAATAGTTAATGCTTTTATTACACCATAATTTGTATATGTTTCAATGATTTTTTTTGTTGCAGGTCGTCCATCTCAACTACAGAACTGCTCATTGTTAAATCAAACAGCAAATTCTCTACAAGTGGAATGCGTTGAAGGATATGACGGAGGCCTAACTCAAAGTTTTTATATGGAAATTTTAGAACTACCTAGTTTAAGGTCTAGATTTAATTTAACTACATACAAGGTAATGATATATGTATTTTAACCATTTTTTTTTATTTAAATTATGCATAGTATTCATATTACTTTTAAACTGCAGAAAACTTGTTTTTATCATCTTATTTAAGTTAATAACCTAAAATATTTATTACTTTTATCTACTTTTATATAAAGCTTATATTTTTTAAAAACAGTATAGTTTATTCAAGAATAGTACATTTTTATCCTGTAAATACTAAAATCCTAATACCATTCTCTATGTTACTTATACAGGGTGTCCCAGAAATGAGTGCAGATATTTTAAGAGGTGGTAGATCTGGTCAAAATAAACATATTTTCTCTTTACCATTATTAAAATAAATTGAAAATAACTGAGTTATTTAACTTTGAAAATTTAAAAAAATAATCGCAACATTTTGAGAACCGCCGGCAGATATTGCCAGCTACATCCAATTACCCGGATCAAGCCCGGATTTCAGTTAATTCGACGCACTGTGTTGCCATATGGACAAGAAAGTATATGTTTACAAGTAAGTCATAAAATCACAACACCTGAGGAGTTTGCAGAGATGCATTACATTTTTAAGATTGTGATATTATTACATAAAATAAATTAAAAGTTAAATGTTTAAAAGTTAAATTGAAAAAACTTACCCAACATTAAAAAAGATACTTATGACAGATCGATGTAACTGCGACAGTTCTCTTTTTCGATACACACTTAACTAAAATACACTTCATTGTGCTGCTTTACTTGTACGTGCTATTATAAAAACTGCTAAAATAACAGTGCCCATTTTTAACTTAATACATTATTTTCGTATAGGCTTATCACAATTTGAACCACTGATTTACAAAACACCTTGAAAAGCACACATTACACATTACTTTGCATATCTTTCTGAATGAATAAATGTTGAGAATTATTGTCTCTTACCGCCACTTTACGAACTACTTTCAATCTAAGAAAATACATGTTTCACTCAACAATTTTAAATACGTATTTTGCTTTTTCGCTATTTTTTCGATGTATTTCGACAATTCCGTCAACAGCCCAACCACCCGTCGGCCAAGACAGCCACGCATTACTGGTTGGTAACTGCTCACTGCTTCTTTGTCGCGCCGGCGTGTCGAGCTTCGTCATGCGAGGTTGCCGTAGTTTCAACAATTTCAAATTCAAGACACTCGAAGCAATCAAATTCTTATTAAATTTTAAAATAAAACAGAAAAACATGAAAGGAAACAAACAAAACACAAATGAATTGATAATTGATAAGGTCACAAAAAAAAATTTCTAAATTGTTTATCGTAATTCAGAATTCAATATATCGAAAACAGCCCGACGAATAATCAATTCATTTTCGTTTTGTTTGTTTCCTTTCATGTTTCTCTGTTTTATTTTTAAAATTTAATACAAATTTGATTGCTTCGAATCTCTTGAATTTGAAATTGTTGTAACTACGGCAACGTTGCTTAACATCGTCGTCTGACGCAAGCCTGCCACGACGGCGCGGCTCAAAGGACCAGTTCACACGTGGCACTCTTGGCCAACGCGCGACGGTCGGGCTGTCAAAATACATCGAAAAAATAGCGAAAAAACAAAATACGTATTTAAAATTGTTGAGTGAAACATGTCTTAAATTGAAAGTAGTTCGTAAGTGGCGATAAGAGACGGTATTCAAAGTAATGTGCTCTTTTCAAGGTGTTTTGTAAATCAGTGGTTCAAATAAAACAGAGAAACATGAAAGAAAACTAATATTGAATTCTAAATTACGATAAACATTTTAGGAATTTCTTTTTTGTGACCTGGTTGTGAATAATATGATGGTATCATTTTCGTAAACGTCATAAACGTAATGTTTTAGTTAATTTTCGGTGGTTTTTGTTAAGTTTTCATTGAAAGGGTAAGTACTAAAAATAATTAATGTGTTTTTTTTTCTATAATAATTGAAAAATGAAAATTTGACATTCTTAATTTTTGAGTAGAAATTTTTCTATGAATTTATAAATGTAGAACTATGTAGAATGTGGATAACATAGGAGGTTACAACACTGCATGGTTTAGATACACCGTAGAGAAATCTCAGGCGAATAAACAAGTGGCACTAAAAAGTTTTTTCAAATTTCCCGGAAAATGTCAAGAAAAATTTAAAATTTTCAACATTTTTTTTTCGCAAAAAAAACCTCATAGGCGTGTTTCTGGGGTTGAACTATACTACCAGTTAAAATATTTGCACTTATTTCTGGGACACCCTGTATATAAACCCAAAAAATAAAATGGGATTCTGCTTTTAGTCTAAATGTACTTTCTTTTTGGGAAAAATATTTTTTCTCCAAGTTCTTGAACCTTGTATTGAAATATTCTTAAATTAATTTTCTTGGGACATTAGGTTCCGAAAAACGTTGAAATATGTTTTTATTTTGTTTAAAAATCTTTATTTATTCTATGAACAAACGTTTCGGCCAACATTATAGCCTTCATCGGTGTTATATATCACAAAAGACTTGACAAAAATTAGTATCCAAAAACGAACAATACAATATATCACAGCACAAAAACATAATGCTCAGTAAAGTTAGTCAAGTATACATTTATGACAGAAAAAGGAAAATACATAATTTTGTTTTAAGTCATTATTAAGCCGATTTACATTGCTTATCCGTGGCTGTATCGTACTGATCGTACTGCTTTAAACAAATTGAAAACAGAATTCAGCGTTTTCGGAACCTAATATCCCAAGAAAATTAATTTAAGGATAATTATTATATTATATGACATTATAGTATATAGTATAAATCAAAATTTAAATAAAAACTACTTTTTACGATTTTTGATAAAAGAGCACGCCATTGGAAGACCAAAAAGACAGATATGCACACGAAACAGCATTGACATTTATGTACCCATATCTTTTAAACTCACATAAAAATGTTAAGTTGAACTTTAACATCTTTAAAGTAAATGTGATTGTAAACAAATTAAGTTTTATGAATCGAGTATTTTGTCCCTCTTATATGTTCATTACTTTTACGTATATGCGACATCAGTTTTAATAAAAAGTTACATTTGTTACATTGAAAATTATACAACAACTGTTTCTTTATTGAATTCAAATTTATTTTTAATATAGACATTAATGGAGACAATTTTACCACTCTCTGGGTACTATAGGTAACATAAGTACTTAGAGTGAGGTTTAAGTAATTTGAGTTTTGTAAGTTAATGAAGAAGCAGATCAAAATGATTAAGTAAAAAGCAAAATAAGCTGTGGATCAATTGCTAAGACTACTAAGATGTCAAAAACCAGTCACAAATTGATCATTTCATAATGCAAAACTACCGTCAAAATCGGATACATTCCGGGTTTATTTTGGGTCGTAGTTCTCTAGTCGTATCGGACAAAAAGCTAATGTTACTAATGTTCCAGGCGCCTGTGTTCGTCGCCGACGGCCTCGATCCCGGAACCACCTACAGGATCATGCTGTACGCCGTCAACAAAAAGGGTCGCAGCGAGGCGACAGTGATTGATCCCGTTACGTTCAAAGGCGTGGCCAAGCTACAAGGTGAGTGGTGTTTTCGTAGGGGTGATCTGTTTCCAAATGGGAAACATTTTCTATTAAATTGAAATACAAGTGAGAACAATGACGCAAGCTTGAAGATTTCGATTTGGTTGATGGGATAATGCTTTAATATTTTGCTTAATGTGAAATAGTCGAATCAAGCACTAACAATGATTGACAAATTAAGGGTAAAATTAAAGGATCAATACTTCTAGATTTTATGAATTCAAATATCTACGTATAATTAAGAAAATATATGATTAGTTTTAAGCTCGGCTTTAATAAATTTTGCTTCCATTTCCTATAAAAAAATTAGTTTTATGACTAATAATCTTGGAATTTCATTGTATCAAGTACCTCATATTTATACAGGGTGTTTCAAAAAGCATGTGCCATCTCTCGTGGACAGACTGCTCACATAAAAATAAGATTTATTTTTCATATCAACATAGGTCCGATTCTGCTTTGTTTCATAGCTACAGGGTGTTAAAATTTTAATAATCTTTATTATATTATTTATTAATATAATAAAAACTTATTATAATTTTCTTCCAAGTACTTTTAGTGATTTGAATGAAATTTTGAGAGTAAAAGTTACTATAAGTGCCACGTATTTTAATGCTACAAAAGTGTCGATAAATTCATCAGGGACGTTGCGTATGGGTTATCACTCGAAAATTTAATAAAAAAAAACATGTGCGTCACTGATTTTTTTCTTTTTATATCAAGATTGTCTAGGCCGTTTAATGCTAATTAAAAGTTATCTCTTGATATTTTGTCGAATTCGGCCTCTTTGATGAGATAAACGCAATTTTATTAATCACAATTAAAAAAATTAAAATTAAAATAAAATTAATAAATCATCTATTTTACCTAATTTATAATTAAATATTATTACTATTAGTTATTATTATTATTAGTCCAACCTACAGCAATTATTGCAAATAAAAAAATAATGGTATTTCAGATAATTACAAAAAACTTAATTTTAAAAAGTACTAGGAAAAAAAGTACAATAAATCGAAAAAATATTAAGACTTTAATACCCTGAGAAACAAAGCAGAAATCGGACGAATGTCGATATGAAAAATAAATCTTATTTTTACGTGAGGAATCTCCCCACGAGAGATGACACATGTTTTTTGAAGAACCCTGTATAAATAGTAAATATTAAAAGTAAAATAACTATATTATAAGACAAAATCTTGTTACTTACTTATTTATTTCATATTGAATACTGAATACTAAAAACGAAACAGGCAAATTTAATAGTTATTAAGAGTACTTAAACAAATTAAGGGTTGTAGATTTTTTAATTTTACTTTTTGCAAATTATGATTTTTAAAACTATTATCAAATATTAAGAGTAATCGCAACAATAATTTTCTGAACTCTAAAGTTAATGTAGGTATATTTAACCCTCATATTCATATTCATACTAGTCGTCATAATAAAAGTAAATAACAATCATATTTAGACAAATTGTGAGCCCCAGCGATTTTTTGACTGTTTATTTAAATTGCTAAAATATTAATAATTATTTATAATTTTAAATCTTTCATGATGTCAATGCTAAACTTGTATGTCTATAAAAAAATAAACTTTGAGCTGTACATTAAATTCGTTAAATAAAAAATAAATGAATTGTAGCAAAAAAACATTGTCTACCAAAAATGATACTTAAAAATTAAAACTGAAGAAGCATTCTTTTTTCATACACAAAATAGCCGTCCCATCCAAATAGATATGTTTAACACATCATCTAAAAATTTATAATGATATTGTAGTACTATTATTAAATATTATTTTTCAACAGTACTATTGGGAATATATTTTTTATGGAAGTATATAGAAATAATATTTTTCTTTGAACTTTGATATTGTCCACTTCATAAATGTCTTATGTTTTTCATATTATCATTTTTTAGTTTTTTTGATGGATCACAAACTAGTCATATAAAATTCCATTAATAAATTCAGTACAGATAGTAGTTTAGTTTTATTTTAATAATTAAAGTAACCACACCATTGCAACGTATGTATTTTTAATTCTAATATCGCCAAAGCCCACAACTGTCCACTGAATAATAATTCAGCGCATTAAAGTTGCGTCGCTTACTTTAGTAAAGTTAAAATTAAAAGAGTACAAAGCTAAATTTCGGAAACATTTATTTTATATTACATTTATGAAGCTCATCATAATATTTATTTAATCCATTAAACCTAATATACTTAATGGATTTATTTAATACATTTTATTATTTTCATATTGAACTTTCTTCTCTTTTCATATAGTTCTTTCTTTTAATTTTCTTATCTAGTCACAATATTGTTTCATATTATGCCAAAAGTTCCTTTTTACTTTTAAAGAGTTATTTAATTCTTGTTATTAAGTTTTATATTGAGAATATTAGAAATTCTTCATTATTCTTCTTTTTCCTACAACTTGATTTTTTTATTCAGAAAAAAGAAAAAGAAAAGACTTTCGATAAGTATAATGCACTCCTATACTGCTCAATATAATAACTACCGTTATGCTAAATTTAATGCTTTTACTATTTAAAAAGGAGTACACGAGAGTCAATTTCTTAACAATATTTGAAATATTACTTTAGAATAGACGTATTATTCTTGAAGTAAAATATGTTCCTTTTATAATATCGGAGATGCGATAAAATTTCATTTTCAAATGCATATCTTAACTCTCCCAAACAAGCAAAAAGTAACTATATTAAAAGGCATCCATTCTTACATATCTTTATAAGGGATTCTTTACTACGAATGTAAATCGACTTGCTTGCAAATTTAACTCAACCAGAGTATTGTATTTCAAGAAAATAATAATAGAATTAATAAAATATTCATAGTCGGAAAAGATTGGAACGGAAAATCGGATGAATAAAACAGGGATGCTTTGTTGTCTGCCTTTTGTTCGCGACGTATTATTAGATTTACCGATAATTTCAATTATATGATAGTAAAAGACACCCGTTTGTAAATTAGTTATGGTTTAATTTTATTTCAATAGAATGTTAGATGAAATCAACTTCAGACACTTACGCTTATTAAATGATTATTTGATTATAACTAGATTTTCAGTTAGATAGGATATTTTTATAAATATTTTTAACAGAGATCGATAAATTAATATGTATGAATATTCAATAAACATATTTTAATCGTTTGGTGTCTATTGTTTAGCGTTTTATCCTTGTGTGTTCCCTTTCTTGAGTTATACCGAATTATAACTCATCATACAGTCTCAGGGCTTTGGCAAAAAGCCCGTATCTGAGACGGCTCTCCGTCTTCAACATCAGCTGTACCGTGAAGTGGGGTAACTTTACCCAATTCTGAATTTTAAATCGTGTTTGTTTCAAAAATTGTTGTATTTTCTCAAATGCGCATGGTCTATGCTATAAGTGGTAATAAGAACAACACAACAATAATACGCTTTTTTGTTTATTAAAAAAAAATATATAAAAAAAGTAAAAAACTGGATGGGCAAAGTTAGTTGCTTATATGGGGTGTCTTTGCCCTCTTCCTTATTCTTATTGATAGACCAAAGCCACCCCATTTAAAAGCATAATTACGTAAAATATGCGTCATCACCCTCAATATTATAACGAACTTCTGCATAATACTTACCTCAATATAGCGTGGTTAACTGTAGCAGCCACGTAGAAGTTTGAAACGCACAAAATAGGCTTTAAAAACAGATTTGGTTTCACAGTACTGTAAATGCTACATCGCAACTGACGGAGAGCGTTTAGCGACGTTCCGAGACGGGGGGGGGGCGCCTCCACCCATAATTTACCGATAACACTACTGAGGTGTTCGTTGTACCTCTACTGAGGTGTTCGTTGAAGAGACTCTGTTAGAAACACCATGACAATCCGGAGATTGTTTTTACTTAATTCTAGAAAAATCTTTGATTTTTCTCGGTCGTAAGTTCTGAGGAACTTTTTCGAGTGTCTTAGACCGCTGGATGATACCCATTCCAGGTTACGGATGAAGTCTTCCAGGTTCTTCAGTTCCGCTTTAAGCTAGTTTCCACTTGGAAAGCAGAACGGTTCTGGTCAAAGTTAGTGGAGTATTCGCTCTTTCTCTAGCTGGATCGTTTGCTTATTTGTTGTCTTCTATACCTTGGTGGGCGGGCACCCAGTGTAGGAGGACTTTATTTTCTTTGCCTAATTTGTTCAGCTTGTCTATGCATTCTTTGATCAACTTTGAATTGATGGTTACTGAATTAATCGATTTTAGTCCCAAGTAGCAAAATCACAACGTCGCCAGGAGCAACCCAACGTTGCCGGACAATGTCGAAGCGACGTCTAAGCGACCCATATTTGCACCAAAACGGTGGATGTTTTTAGGGTCGCTACAACGTCGCCAACGTTGGCGACGTTGTTTGAGGCGACGTAGTACATCCTGTGCTAAAAGTTGTTTTTCATGCCGATTTGCGATATTTTGAGGTTAGAGTTAAAACTATTCGTCGTCAAATATTACTATATTCAACCATGGGGAAACCAAAATGAATGATGTATGAATTAGAAATGGAATATATTATGCTCCATTAAGAAATAACTAGGTGAATTTAACTTCGACAAATCTGCAAAGTTTTGAGATGTCGGCAATTGAAATTCATCAACGAAGATTAGTTTACTGTTGAAAGTGACCATGATACTTCGAAATATGGCAAAGCCCCTTTTTAATTTCCTAGTTTTAATTTTAAAATTATAGTTTACTTGGTTAACCTAACTTTTTTTTTGTTTAAGTTTGAGACAAATATACGAAATCTATCAGAAAAATTAGCTTACAACCCTAACAGATACAGATTTTTAACGAAATTCGCAGTATTTTGTGGTTTCTGATATTTTATTCGATTCGTCCACAACGCACGAAAAGATAAATCGTATTAAAATGGCGGAGTTGCCTAAGGCAACCTTTAAAATACCAATATACTGCATAAGGTGCGGTAACCGACCTTTGGGTCACCTATGCCAACC